GTAGTGTATGTAAGTATATGTTGTTATTGACAACGTCGGCCCTATGGCTATCTTGCGAAAAGCGCCTATGATCCTCGAACAGATGCTGCACACATTTGCACACCCCCTCAAAGAGCCGCCTACACCCCCCCGAGGTTAACTTCGAAGCCAAACGGCCAACTCTACTAACGCAAACCCAAAAAGAAGAAGGGCAAACGCTTAGCTACTTAGTACTGTTGTTTCACAAAGGCTACCACCAAAACAGACAGTCAAACAGGCATTACTGGGGCACTCCGTTGGGATGCTTGTGTTCCCAGACTCCCGGGTGGATCTAGAAAGCAGAGCCCTTAACTTGGGGTCCTAACTTCTAAAGGGTACTTTATAGGAACCCCCTTTAAGGGATCTACTTTTCGGATCCTCCCGGGGGTCTGGGTTTGGGACTTAGCAATCCATTTCTGGGCACACCGGCAAACTTCCCTCAGTCAGCTTATTGGGCTTAGGATATAGGGACAAAAAGGTTTAAAAGTTCTCCCATTGGCTATCTAAGATATGGGTGGTTGTCAAAATTATGGTCCCTTTTGGGGTCCTTATTATAATACGGCACCTACTATTTAGGGTAGGATATTGCAAACGCTTTAGGGTTTAGGGGTTTAGGGTTCAGGGGTTTAGGGGGTTATGGGGTTTAGGGGTTAGGGTCAAGTTTAGGGTTTAGGGGTTTTGGGTTGTTGAACATGATCTGCTGAGACATGTTATCCTGCTTTGTCATGGAAGTTGCGGAGCATCGCCGGGGCAAGCACTAGTCAAGCTACGCCTCTGCCTCCAGCCCGTCCTTTGGCTCAGTCTTTTCGTCGCTCTGCGGCACCAGGTGGGAGAGAGGCAACCATCCGCGGTCACTCCCATCCTGCTCTGATGCTGGAAGCCGACCCTTGAAAGTAATATAGNNGGCCTTAACAAGTAGAATAGCGTTTTGGGGCCCTTGTACCATAATTATAATCAGAACTTCCCAAAAAAGTAACTAGTGGTCATCATTTAGACCCTGACATTTAAAGGCCCTAAGCAGAGCTAAAGCTCAACCCACGTGCGTATGCTACAACTCCTAGAGTTCAACTCCTCGACCCTTATCTCCCAAGCCCCAGCACTCCCTAAAACCCTAAACCCTAAA